CAGTGCTGGTATCGAACTTCAATTCGTCCTTAAGATATACCATCGAGAACTATTGAACCTCTGCTTACGCGGTGCCATACTTACCGTCAGAGGCGGATCCAGAAATTTAGCAACCCCGGATTTCCTCCATTTAAAACTATGTTAAATAATCGATTCCTGTCGGTGCATCTTGCCCCTCCAAGAATCGATAAATTTTCATAGGTTCAAGTAGAGAAAATACAATGTTGCCAATTTTCTGGATCCGCCAATCCTACCGTGAATCCGCAGGAAAGTTGACTCACCACGAAAGAGCAATTTAAACCGTAAGAGCCATCAGAATGTATCGATCACGGCCGCGAGTATCGAACTTCGATTCGTCCGTAAGATCCCACGGAGAACTATCGAACCCCTGCTGACGCGGCGCCACGTTCACGGAGCGTGGCCGCGGGAGGCGGGGCGCGCGTGGACAACCCGAGGGTCAAAGCTTGACCAATAAAAAACAGATAGTAGAACTGCCGCGCATAGCAAAAACCCTACAACTACCGTGTAAATCTTACGCGGCTCCGCTGTTTTTTGCTTAGCGAGACGAGGAATTTCTGACGTTGATAATATTTATGAGTTTTTATCAGCGCGTGCACCTCGGATTGACGATCGCCCCCTCGNNNGGGGGGGGGGGGGGGGGGGGGGCGTTGGTGTCGAACGGGGCACCGCGACGATGATAGCGGTTGTTTTCCCGTGTCATTTGTCAGCGGCCCGAAAGACGTGTCAATGTAGCCACGCGATGCCCGCTTATCACTAACTGCCTTTTAATTCTTTTGTGATGCAACGGTGAATCACGTTCCATATCGGAAAGCGGATACAGGCGCATGCATTTGCGCTGCACTGTTGAGAATTTTGGTGTGAAATTCCTTGCCGGAGTCTATGCAGCACCCAAAAATCTCGAGTGATATGAATACGGAGTGAAATCTACTTTCTTTACGGAATGACTTGCAATAATACGGAGCGGAATCCTCTTTTTTTCCGGATTGGTATATAATTTTATGGTGCTAATTTTACTTCGTAGTTAAATCACTCGGGGTTTTTGAGCGCTGCATGGACTCCGGTACCAAATTTTACTCCACGTGAAAATTTTAGCAGTGTAAAAAAGGTGTTGAAAGGTAGTCTATATTTCTGGCACGCAGAATTGCAGAAAAGAATCTTTCCCTAAATTTCCCCAAAAAGAATTTAAAAAATTCCCCGCACCTCGTATACCCAACACACAAATAAAAAAAAAATAGACAAGCGACACCAAAGTATTTACTTACAAACTAGAATTGAACAACTTCAAAGGAGACACACGACCCAATGGCGGTAAAAACCCTTGGATACAACTATTCGTGCTCAATGGTCGTCCAAGTTGCATACATCCAAAAATGCAGGCGTTTTGATTTCTCTGACCCGCGTAGCCAGGAGCCGCCTGAACTCCTATCTGATTGATGTATGCAAGTGTTTTTCGGTCAAAATGTTCGTAAAAAACTCATCACCGTTCGGGAATCAATAAAGCCACATTGAGCTTTAAGGATTAGGGTCATTTTCCTGTAATTAGCAATGCATATTATTATTTTAGCATTTGCGCTGCGCCATGAAAGTTTATTGCAACGCTTCCTCAATAAATGAGGCTCTCGTGAGCCTGAGCATGAATGATGTAGAATCCTCAGTGGACGTATTTAAATAAAAAGGAGCTTTATCCATTCTGACATGGGCCCTGGTATTCATAATAATACATGCATGACAGGGCTCATGTCACAATAAATATAGTTCCTTTTGATTTCAATGCGTCCATTTTAACGTCCCTCGTGATAGAAGAGATAATGTGCCATGTAATTTTTCATTCCGAATCATTTTGATTTAAAAAATATCATACTTTTAGAAATATATATGCACTTAAAACTCCAAAAATAGTGAAGCATACAATGTATTTCGAGCTTACCTTTAGTTATCTGGGATCGCGAAGTCTCCGAAAGAGAAGAGCTTGACGTAATTGTTTTTTGCTTGCCATTATTGTTTTGTATCTTATGTGTCATTCAGAGTTGTTACTGTGAAGGGACACACAGCTTGCTTTGGCGGCTATCCATTTGAGGATATCTTCCACGAATGAATTCGTGATCAGCAAAGCCTTGAATGACTCTCTAACGGGATGCGCTTGCTTTAATACGGGTGTATTCCTCTTTGCTCTTAGTACTTATAATGATCACTGATTTACTGTTTACTTTTAAAGACAGTGATACGATCTCAAAGATCCGCAGAATGACCAGTTTTAGTAGATAATGACCACGCGCATGGGAACAACGGAGTCGTCGCTCTTATAAAGTAAGCTAATTACTCAAAGCTTTGTCTAAAGTAAAAATGCGACTTCTTTTCTTTCCTCCTATACACACTCCTTTATTCTCTTTTTTTGCGTGATAAAAGTGGGAAAATTGACGCGGTAGCGGAATTAGTGACGAAGGTTGAAAATGTTTAAGTTCGGAGATTATGGGCCGATCAGAGAAAATATATTTTAAAGACCCCGATACTATTGTCTCTTCCATAGTGTAAAAGTAATCTTTGGAAGTTTACGCCCGGATTCACTCTATGGTGGCAGATGGCGAACGAGTTATTACACTACTAGAGAATTTGCAAAAACGCGCCCGGCAAAAAGCTCTGTCCATCATTCATCAGTCATTATTTTGCGAATGTTCAACAAGTTGCTCATCAATCATCGTCTAGCGTTGACCTTCGAACTTCTTTTTGCGTCACCTGATCCACTGCTTCAGATTTTTTCTGCGGGGTTTCAAAAATATATTATTTTTGGGCCAAATTTTTCTTTAATAAAAGGGGGTGCTTATTTCAAGTCGTGGGGACTCACACTGGATCAGATCAGAGTATGCGACGTTTTTCGGAAACTCTCGAGTAAAATTTACTTTTCAGGGAAATTCTCACAGAAAATCGGACACACACCCAAAGAAACAAGTTTGAAGAAGGCACACTATCAGAATTACACTAGAGAGAGGCAATGAGAACGTTTCCAGGGTTTCCCATTCTCAGTAGATGCCCCCTCTCTAATGGACGTATTTCTGCCAAAAAGGACTAAACGCATTAGGGGGCATGAGCCCTGAGACCCATAAGAATGTGTGCATAACAGGGCTCACGTCATGATGCACATAGTTCCGTTTGATAGTAATACGTCCTATTTATTATTTCCATGTAACTTCAATCTGTAGTTTCGATAATAGAGAGGGGGTCTGGAGACTTTTTCGGCCCCTCTATTCTGGAAAAAAGGGGCCCCTTTTGTCACCCTCCTCTATTTCCTCCATCAATCTATTGCCAATTCGATTAAAAATCACCCTGGCGATGTGTGAGAGAGGGCTCGACCTACTCACCTATGACCCGGACCGAGCCTTTGTGGCTTGTGTGACAGGGACACGCTCGTAAAAAATAGAAACATGCTGACGTCATGCTGGCAATTATCAGGCGGACGCAAATAATGATTAGAAACTTATTGTGAACTTTCATTCAAGATCGCAATCGCTGCACCCGTGCGTCATATTGTTGTCCCCACCCGATTTGTTTTATTGGTAATAAAAAAAGAAATAAATAAAACGAAAAAATAATCAACCAGGAGCCCCCATCTCATGATTAGTATGATGAATGATTGCTTGCAAAGTAGACGATCAACGCGTCGTATCAACATGTGACTTTTTGTTGATTTTGTGGTCTCATTTTGTGGCACTTCGTTTCCTTGTTGACCAACAGATTGTGCAGATAGAGTTTGACTCTTTCTTGTTTTTGTTGGATTTTCATTTCCTCACAGAAAGCAGCCTTTTTCTTCTTTCAACTCATATTTTAATGTATTTATTCTCATGAAGTGTGTTCATTGGAGTACGTATTGATAATAATTGTGTGTTGATGTGCCTCTAAGCTCCGTGAAATTTTGAACTCTCGTAAAAGATTAACGTTTTCAGTGATTTTATCGTGACGTTTTCGGTTACTTGTATGACTATTTGAAAGAGTACAATTTTAAAATTGTAAGTAAGCCAGCTTTGATACCAACCCATGTTTTCTCTGATCCCAGCTCCAAAATCTGCTGTGAAGGTTAAACCCGTGGTTAAAACTTGATAAGTAAATTAGAAACCTGTTAGGTTAAACCATCGCTGAAGAGTTTTTATTCCAAAATGTCCTAGCAGGGTTCATAGGCGGATTTAGACACCTAGAACGAGGAGGGGGGGGGGGGTCCGCGGGGGCCACCCCGGGAAATTGTCGAACTTTTAAAACGTCTAAAATGTAATTGAGTCTAATTTTGTCATAAAAAATTACCAAATACAAGCATCTTTCCTACTTCTCTCATCCGTTCCTTCCTTCTCTCTTTTCCCCCTTTTGTCTTCCTTCTTTTTTCAGGCGAACAGAGGTGCGTGGGTCCTCTACGCCCCTTTTACTTAATATAATTTTCAAAAATAGAATGTAAACTTTTTCTTCGCCAGAGGAGGCTGAGTGTGTTTCGAGTGGTGGCTGAGTCGTATAAAATACGCAAACTCTCTCTAACGTCTCATAAAGCAATTTGCCCGCCAATCAAAATCACTGATGTTGAATCGTAAAAAAAAAAGTCCTTCTATCAAATTGTTTACTTTATTCAGAACTCAAAACGCTTGTATTACACCAAAAATGAATCAGTTGTTTTCAAAAGGGAACAAGTCCAATTTTTGATGAGTCTTAGCTCGCAAGTCCTTTTATGCAACGCAAGGCTCATTCAAAAATGGACTTGTTCCCTTTTGAAACTGATTCTAATGAAAATTTGACATTTTTTCGCAGACCTCACGCAGATTGATTACACTGAATACTTATTTTGTTGCAGGCACAAGATGTCGTTGGCGGGGGCAGCGGTGGAGGACTGCCGGACGCAACTGAACGGCCGGTGCGACGAGGTGGAGCTCCGTGAGACGGGGGACAAAACCCCAGGGATGCCCGGGGATGGGGGTGGGGGCGGGGGCATAGTGACCCAACACCAGGAATCCTTCGTCAAAAGCGCCCCAATCGCCAGCTCGGTCGAGCTTCGATTCGACAGTCTCACTTACACAGTCTCAGCAGGCTTCCGCAAAGGTATGTCTTAACAGCAAAAACTTATCGATAGCCAAAGTGCAAAACCACGTATCTTCATTACTGGTCTCCTGCGGTGCAATGGATCCAGCGCTTGCTCCATGATCAGGAGGTCCTCGGTTCGATTCCCGGCCAGGTGACCCGAGTATGACTGTCTCAAACAACGGTTATACCTGGGGCTGGCTTAGGGACTGAAGGGGATGAAACTTTAGGGACTGCAAGAGTGAGATTGTACCCTTAAGGATATTCGAAGTGAATTAAAGAAAAAAAAAGAGAATAACGGTGTTTTAAAATTTCCGCTCATATTTATTTATTTGGAGAGAAACAAGGTCACTTGACAGCTCGAAATGTTTTACAGAATATTCTCCTAACAGAGAGGAAAACTCAGGGAAAGTTTTAATAAATTATGTTGAATAGTTTTCCAAAGAAACAGCAAAAAGTTTGCGACGTCGTTAAAGGAGATACGCGGTTTCGAACTCTGGACATCGTTATCTATGCTTTCAAGCTTCTGCCCGACTTAAAAGAAAATGCACTGCAAACGGATATTTAATTCAGACTTTCCTTAGTATAACCGGATTAAATATTACATTTTTGAATCATTTGAATGGCGCAAAGCAAATCAGTCGCATATTTTCACTGCTGTGTTACGGAAGGTAACTCTTAAATTTTCTGAAATATAGATTCTATGCAAAAAGTACCGCTTCGTTCTGTCAACTCTAACCAGTGGTCTTTCACGAAAGCGTCCTTTTCTTTTAAAGTCTGTCCCCCCCCCCCCCAAAAAAAAAGGATCCATTTTTCTAAATCAATCGCTCGCACAGTGTATTAATTGATTCCAGGTACGGACATGAAACTTTACAAAAGCACTTGCATGGTCACCCGTGCAAGGAGAGGGGCGGGTTTCATACATGAAACTTGATTATGAGTTCTCGTTTTGCCGTGCAAAAACCGCAGATGGACGCGGGGTTTTCGTGGCAGTTACGCGATTTTAGATTAGCGGGGCGGTGCCGGGCGTCGATGCGTCAAAAATCGACGCCTCCGGCGAGGATTCCGGTTCGAGCGAGTGACCCAGTGCGGCGAGCTTCATGCGGCGCCGCCAACAACTATCACAGCGTCGCGGCGCCCAGTCCCGACAAGGTCCAGCGCCGCCGCCGCGACGATCATGCAATCCCCTCCCTCCCTTTTTGTGCTTTAAGATTACTGACTCAACCGCAATCAAATAACACACATAGAGGAATGAGGTATTCCAAAAACTTTTTTCGACGGAAATTGCAACTGTTTGATAACGTTCCACTAATAATTTCAAAACTACCTGAAGGTCCCAAATCACGAAAATCACATAATGTGCAAGCTCATGACCGAATAATACCTACTGTGGCGATTTTGCAAGTTGGCAATACTGTTTTTCTTCCATTCAAATCCATTAAAAATATCGATTCCTGGTGAGATAAGCTGCTTCTAACCAAGAACCGATTGTTTTACATGCTTACACTGGAAAAAAAAAAAAAACACATTGGATCTAGAGTCCAGACTCTTGAAAACATTGACAAGAAAAACTACTCTTGATTCAATCGGAGTTTTGCTTGAATCAAAACGAAATCCGCTTAAACTAAGAGGCTTGGTTCTTCATTTAAGCTAGATTCTGATTGAATCAAGAGTACTTTTTCTTGTTGATGTTTTTAAGATTCTGGACTCTAGATCCAATGTGTTTTTTTTTCCAGTGATATAAATGGAGGAAAGCAGTATTGCCAAATTTCAAGAATCGCCCCTGCTTCAGCAAATTTATGGACGATTCGACTGCTGGAGCGTATTTTACGGGCCAATAAATTATTTTTTCCTCTATAACGATGTCTCCGAAAGTGTCCAAAGAGGAAACCACGACCCTTCAATTTTTTGGGAAATCATTGTTTTTCCTGGATTTTATCCGTGCTTACGAATTGAGATTAACGACAAGCGGATCCATTCCCTACTTTTTAGCGTTCAAATAATCGATGGCCTTAATAATATCGAAATCTGATGTTAAAGAGAAATTTCGGATGGGGGATCTTACATTTTTAGGGTAGAAAACACTATGCCCCCGTTGCACCGCCTAAATACCCTTTGAACTCAATATTTGGACAAATTTTAATTCAGCGCAAAAAACTAGGAGAGTTAGCCATTATTTGAGTCTCTTGGTCTATCACCGTTGAAAAAATTCAGTAACACCGATCATTCTCCCAAAAGCTTAGAGGGCCGTATCTCCGACTTTGGAGAGGGGGTTATTTTTGGGGGAAAACTTAAAAGAGGAAAAAATTCCACTTGTGGTCCTCAGAAAACGCTCCGTCAGTCGGAACGTCTAGCTCTGAGACACCCTGTAATTAACTATGATTGAACGGCCGCTGTGGGAAGGGAAATGCGGTGTCTCGTTTAATTAAAAATTGCAGAGACAAAACGGAACTAAGATTTTCTCGACGAAAAAACCATTTAAGAGGAAGGTACAAAATCAAGCCAAAGAGCGGATACCCTGGACACGTGCAGGGTTCAAGGACACACTGGTTGTGCTTAGTTTCGCTAAGCAAACGAGGTAAAGGCAAAATACGGAAACTACATTCTCAGGGCTGTAATTCATTTTTAATAGAAGAGTTTAATGAGCGGTTACGATCTGTCAGTATTAATGTGATAAAAGTAAGTCTACATTAAGCGATTATCGGTACAATGTAATATGAATGAGGGGCTCTCACGGATATATCTCCGTTATTAAGAGTTGCTCACATTCTTCTAGGATGTGAACAGACATCGTATTCGAGTTTTGTGAGTACTAAAAACTCACGCATGCAGATGCGCAGATAATTCTGACAGTTGATTAAGTGTAGCTCATGCACCCTCTTCCATTTCATGCTGGAAAAATATTTGAAACGCCTTTTTAATTTAAAAAAGATGGCTTAAAATTAAATGAACAAGAAAATAAAATATTTAAATAATATTAAGAATTTTTAAATGATTTTTCCTCTATTAAAATGAGGGTTTTTCAGTTAAATAAAATCAAATTGTCTGAAAAGGCAAATTATATTTTGTTTGGATTAAAAATAAATTTATTTGAATGTAAAATAAAATATTTTACTGACACGGTTTTTTTTTTAAATACGAATGGAAAGTAGGAGCTATTTTCTTTTAATCACATATTTTGTTTCACTTTCAAAAAGAAACGATTTTTGGTGATTTTTCAAAGCACGCCATTTCTAGTTCAAACATCAAACGTTCATGAAAATTCATAAGAGTAAGCGCCCAATGCTTCCAGTCCAAAGATGCCCAGTAAAAATCGTATCGTACTGTCGCTCTGAAGAAAATTTTTGGATATGTGTTTGAATATTGCCAAATTGCACCTGATAAAATCTTTATATTTGAGGAAGTTAATGAGTTTTCCTTACAAGCCTCAAGTACGTTAGACTGTATTGCGTATATAAAACTTAATGAAGAATTATGAAAAAAAAATTGCCGTGAAATCTTTTATAAGTATTATCACAAGACATACAGCAAATTTAGAATCTTTATGCGGCGTGTTTCCTTAGAAAGGCAGTATAATTTTTAAAACAGACATGACCATGAGAGTTGCTTGAACTGCAAATATTACATGCATCTGAGAGGATAGTATTAGCACGCAAAGGAATGGTGTCCTATCGCAATCTTCCATGTGTAATTTTCATCGTGTTTAAAGTTACTCTTATCCTCCCATCAAATATTTTTCATTACCCAATCTGATTTCATATCACATTATAAACGACAATTTAAGGATATATAACGTGACTGTAAGTTTTTCTGTTGAAAAACTATATTCAGTAGTTTGAAAATTATACATCCTAATGGAATATCGCACGCATTAATTAAGAGACTTAAACGCTGAAATAGAAAAGTAGCGATGATAAAATGGGAATAATAAATGAAGTTATATACTTGTGATGCATTTTTTTCTCTAAAAAAAACGACGAATATATAAAATAAACATTCAAAGCTGTTATAAATGGATGCGCAAAAAAATTAATTAATTATCCGTTGTACGTAAAAATAACATTACTTTTTCGGCTAAAAGGTATATTTTTCCCCAAAGTTCTATACCTTTCTTATTTTAGATGCAAAATAAATATGAATTTCACCGTGAACCGATTTCCCCATCATGAATGTTTCATAGGTAGTTTTACGGCAAACATATTGATTCCTCCTATACCTTTTTTTCAAGATGCTATTATGAACAAACAGTGCACCTTAAGTTGATAATTTGTTCGACGGTCCATAGAGTTTAAAAACTGAACACCTAAAAAATACAAAAAGAATAATTATACTTTGAAAGTTCCATGTTACCGTGTAGAGGTAAATACAGTCAATTTTGTAGTAAAAAATACAATACTTAGAAACAGTAAGCCAATTGACTATACTTTTTGGCCCCCATCTCTCATTTTCAATCGCGTTACGCCTATTTTAGGCGATCGCGCTACCATTGCAATTTTATTTAAAAGAAAAAAAAGGGAAAAAAGGGCTAGACTCAATCATAAATTAAATTTTCAGAATGACTTAAAAGAGGTACGATTGGGAAGAATGGTACTCGGTGCCGGTTGTGCGTTACGCGTTATGCGTCACGGTCGTGGTTTTACGATGTAGAATAAGATAAGAGTAGGTAAAACCAGCTTCAGGAATTTTGTTTTTTCTGCGAAATTCTCAAAGCAAACGGAACTGACCGAATGAGCAAGCAGTGCGAGTGCGTCGCTTTGTGACCTCTACAGCTGGCTCTTGTTCTTGAGGATATTTAAACTTTTTCAGCGGTTACGAATGATGTCCGAAGACAGGTTCGGTGAGTCGTCACTCGACCCTTGAATCGCTGACGAATTAATGATGGTCGGATTGATAATCGTACGTATTTAAATCAAAAGGCTCTATCTCTCTTGTGACATGAGCCCTGACCCTCATAAGATCACGTACACGACAGGGTCCATGTCAGAATGGAGATAGTTCCTTTTGATTTGGATAAGTCTAATCATACGTCAAAGCTGAAGCCTTATTAGCTCATTTCCCAAGTTCGCGAATGGCTAGTCATCGAAAATTCCCGATGAGCAAAAAGGATTCATTACGCCCTGTGACAGCGCTCATTCTACGCTGTTGATAGACTGGTGTCAAATTGTGCGCCTTTGAGAAAATTTATTGAGGATCTTTTAGAAGTATAGGAGTGACCTTAGAGGGCCTGGCAAATCGAAAGTGTTAAGATCCGAGGGGTTTGACCCCCCCCCCCCCATAATCTGGACCCTTCTTCCCCTAATCCCCTTTTCGATTGTACCAATGGTATTTCAGCAGTATATTTAAAATTACAGCGAGCTCGTCAGGATTTTTTTCATGGAAATATTGACACGAATGAATTTTAAAATTAGTTTCAAATAGTCTTAAAATGTTTCAAAAATATTTCAAAAATTGCCCGAGTTGTTTTGGATTGCATTTTAAGAATTTGTTTTACAGCTATCTCAAAAAATATTCTAAGCCTACAGCAATTCCATTCTTTTTGACAATGTTCTGCACACTTTTTTTTTTAAAAAAAGAAAACGATAAAATTGTGTCCAAATGCAGCGTTACTGGAGGCTAGTGATATTTTAAAAAAATGATAAGAAAACAAAAACAAAGTATTTTGGAGGTAATTCCGATTTTATCGAGCGTTTCTGAGAACATAAACATGGAGTCTGAATTGCCTTACATAATTTTCTGGAATGAGATATGTCATTTTTCATAATTTCAAGAATTTTTCACTCTCGTACCCCTGCCCCATGATAATATTTTGGTCTTAGAACCCCCCCCCCCTTCCCTCATGAAACATTTCTGGATATGACACTGTGGGTCGGGTAGCGGCCAGGAGGCTGCCCTAATATTTTTATAAATATTTTCTGACTGCGCACAACTCCTTGCTGTAGGGGCGTGCAACGCCAACCGAGAGTGGGCATAGGAAGGAAGGAGGGCACAGAGGGGGACAGAGAGGTACAGAGGGGGACAAAGAGGTACAAACAATTAAATTTGTTGCTATAAACACGTGCTTAGGTGGAGCACCTGTTGATAATGCCGAATAATTTGTCAGCGATGTGTGGCCATAACCTCGAATGCACCGCGTTGACATCTCGGCTAATCCATCATCCCAGTCATTCGACCACCAACTGTGCTTACTGCCTAATCACTCGGTTGACATTTGACATTGTTTCGCGACAGTAATAATGCGTTGCCAAGTAGCTCCTTTCAATTAACTCCAAAATGAAAGCTCGCTAAAGCTTGTCTACCCTAACGTGTTACCGAAGAGAGGAGAGCGGCTTTCCTTCAGAATTCGAAAAATTTAATTTGAATGAAGTATCTGATTCAATAAAACAGGGAAATTCGTCTTATTTGTAAAAAAAAAAAAAAAAAAAAAAAAAAAAAAAAAAAAAAAAAAAAAAAAAATCATGGGAAAGAAAAGCAGTGAATGCGTAAAAAATGCCATCATTTCGGGTAAAGCACCGGTTAATCGACATCATTCTGCAAAGGATGTGTAGGTACATGTTTCCGTCCATTTATAACCTTACGCTTTGTTGTTATGTGTCCAAAACGTCATGTAAGCTTTTAGTACATCCTGCCTATCTGAAATGAAAAAGGTCCTTTTCATTCCGTCCAAGTTAAAATTCGTCGGTTCTTAATCATTCAAACAATTTTCGAAATCTTTTTGGTGATTATTGACAATTTTACAAGAAACGGAGGGGCAACACACTTTACTTACAGCTTCCGAATTCTTGACGGGAAGCATTCTCCTAAAGAATCCGTCTTAATTTCTCTACCTATAAGTTTTCGAATACAGGATCAATTTTCATCATTATTCAAAACCATTTTTTTTTTTTTTTTTTTTTTTTTTTTTTTTTTTTTTTTTTTTTTTTTTTTTAGCAAAATGACCAAGGACTAATGAGCGGCTCACAAATTTATTTTGTAACCGTGAGTTGAGCGAAATTAATATTCTAAGCCCCTAACAGCGAGGCATAAAAGACAGAGTGGTAATTTTAATTTAATCAAGATTCGGCACTTTCAAGTCCAGTGGTGACAAACTTGAGATTGTATCATATCTATTTGCGACAACGAAGATACAGCCAAAAGAGGGGTTTCATAAATAAATCATTAGGAAAAGCAAACACTTTAAAATACATAAAAAATGCCTGGGACGCTTCAGGGTGGTCTCAACCCTTTTGTCAACCAGGGAACAAAAATACAAAATATGAAAAGAACAAATCAAAACCCATTGGCCCTTATCTGTGATAACACAAGAGCACAAGACCGGCAATGTAAATCATTAGAAAATACCCGAAGAAAAGCTATTAAGCGTATAAGCAGACCATATCAATTGTTTCCTAGCCGTATCAATTTTAGAATTTTTGTGTCCTTTCCATAGCTTCCTTCAGAATTAATGTCTTCGCTCCCGCTGAACGAAGTAATAAAAGTCGAATTTCATATTTTGATCATTCAAGCCTCGCAACTGGATCGTGGATGTCCAATGTCCATTAAGCTCATTTCTCTAAAGTTCGTTCCTAAAAAAGAGCTGAGTTAAAATCCAAATGCTCTCCTTCCGTCTAAGACAAAAAAAGCCTCAAAAACCCCTCTAGACATTTTGCTCATCATAACGGATATTAGTGTCTGCGTGGATTAGACTATTTTTTGTCTGCACCTTTACTGAGAAAAAAAAATGAAAAAAATGTCTACTGTTCCTTGACGTTGAATTAATTAAAGCGGATGAAACGGCTCATTCACGAATACGAGTAAGAAGAATAAATATTATATACACCCATGCTTCAGGCATGCTAATGATCTTGAAGGGGGAAAAGCAAATACTTATCATCAAAACACATTAGTTTTCACTGTTCCCCTCCTGTTTTATTGTCAAAGTTTTTCAATTAACGAAGTATCGATTAAAATACCTTTTTCGCCCATTTCGTTTCTTTTACGATTAGTTTTAAAGCTATTTTTTGATTATTCACTGATCAGAAAGAAGTAGTACTCTGCAGATTTTAACACGACTTCGGTATATTCGACGATGAAGATGTTATGCGTAGTGCTGAGTAACAAATTGTTTATATTTTTCAAAACCGAAATTTGGAGAAGTGAAATTTTTGTTTAGATGCTGAAATTTTCCGTAATTCTAATTATATTCCAAAGATCCACTATAAATATGGTTTAAGTTATGCAGAGATAAAAATTATTGGAAATATATTTACGACTCTGAGCGGGTTAACTGAAAATCCAAGAAATCTAGAGTCAATATGCGTTCTATGATCTTTTAATGAGAGACGGACTAGACATTTTAAACTTTGATCCCAATTTTATTTTTATTTTTAATTAAAAGCCCAGTTTTGGGCATGTATAGTTTCAACGCAATGCAAAATGAATTGAAACAAATAAAACCAAACGGAGAGGTTCACATGGTGTTAAATGCACAGAGGTAAATGACTCATTATCTCGGCTACTGCTCATACCTCGTTAAATTCAATAATTCTCTCTGACTTTAATATGATTGATCTCTCGATAATCTCCCACAGTTTTAAGTTTTAGTTCTACTCAAATATACGCTGCATTTTGGAGGGCCTTCGTTTTTCGGATCCCCGATGAAATAAACATCAATTTTTGCATAATTTGTGTTAATTTATTTTTCAATGCATTTCATTATCTGCGTCTAAACACAATTCAACCACGGTGGTAATTTTCGGAAAACGAAGAGCAACTTTTATTTTTCAATGTTGCCGACGGCCAGTCCAGCAGTCTGGGCAGTGTCAGTTTATTCAAGGTCAAATAAAACATCGATAAGACATCTCCGGCAAAATTTTTTACCCTGTTGTCGAATTTAGACGTCGAGCGGTGAACATTTTCTCATAGCGGGTGCAATAGGTATAGCTTAACTTGAAATCAATGGAACGTATTTGCTAGTAGTTTGATGTACCGTTTTGCTCAAAACAATAGGAAATAACCAAAAAAAAAAAAAATTTAAGACTTAAGTCGAAAAAGCTGAAAGTGAGAAAATTCCTGTCAATTCCACTTTTCATTGCCATATTGTACTTATAAGAATTAAAAATCTAGGTATCACAAAAAACCCGTTACCTCAGATTGAACATGTTTGACATGTCGTTTATATGTTGAACCATTCGATATCGTAAAAATCTCACCTGTTTGTATCAAATACGATCCATATGAACATATAGACAACTTATGAAATCAAAACGCGAAAAAAATATGTAAAAATGTTAGGTTTGCGTATCCAGCAAAACCACGGATTCATAACGGCTGAAAATACGTCAATTCAACTTTAGTAGTCAATTCTAGGGAGTTTTTTTTCAAAATTTTTGAAAGGCAAGATTGCTCTTAAACAATCATAGGACTTAATCAGACAACGCACCCAAATTATATTTTGGGAATTGTATCTAAGTTTGGGCTTTTATATTATTTTGCTTTTGTTTCGTTTGAGATTTTGTGAAATATTTATGTGGAAGAACTCTAAGTTCCAAATAAAAGCTTTTTCCAAGAGACATTCCGACACAAATGTCAATTACGATTTTAATTTACTGTTGCAGGAACAAAGGATATATTGAAAAACATATGTGGAATCTTTCCTCCTAGTCAGCTCATAGCAATCATGGGGCCCTCAGGCGCTGGAAAATCTTCCCTCCTCGACTGCCTCTCTGGTTATAGGTAATTTGAGTAACTTCATGTTTTTGGGGTATCAAAAAATTATCTACTGTGGGCATTAAATTTCTCTTCGAGATTTTAGGAATCAAAAGAATTAGAAGTTCACAAATTGTAGAAAGCGGTAAAAGTATTCGCTATAACGTTTGAGGTTATGTAGATATTTTTATTTTAGTTAAATTAATAAGTTACATAGCGATCAACCTTTCATTATTTATCGTGAAAAATCGTAAATATGGCAAACGACGGACTTGTATACACAATAAAAAAAGAGAAATAAGAACTTGGTACGTGTTAATTACTTATTGACGACTTTATAGCTACGGTTTCTCATCAACGTTCACATAAACTGAAATAGTTCAATTCCTAATGATCGTGCTCTCTGTTTTAACCTACTCGGGGGTTATATGTTTTGCTGACTTGTCTTGCAAGCGCCAGTTAAATTTTTTCTATTTTGTTTTAAAAAGTCGTTCAGAAAGTTTGACTGAATGTAACATCGTCCATTTTTCCGAAAGCACTTTAACCAGTTTTTGTGCAAAGCCTGTCCAGGGGCAAGTTCCATAAATTAATTCAAGCATTCGGGAGAAAAGGTGATATTCAAAAATGCGGCTCGATTATTGAAATTGATAGATAAAGCGATAGGCAAGGAGGAGATGAAGCAATCCATTTTCTTTTTGTCTTCTTCATTTATAGATTTGTACATTAATTACAAAAATCAGCCTGCAGTGGCGATTCTCGTAAACTAGGAATACTGTCACTCTCCCATCTAAATCCATTATAAATTATCGTTAGTTAGGTGAGGCAACGTGACACGATGGACATTAATCGTTGTATATGCATTTATTAAATGGATATAACCCAGTGTTGTCGGCTTTTGAGACTTGCCACTCGGGCAAATAGGGGAAGGAGTTCAAGGCAAACCGCACGCTCGCCAAGAAGAAAAGAAACAGACCCGATCAATAAAATCTACAATGTTTCTAAGATTGTTTCCAAAATCAATCAGATTCCATTCTGAAAGGAGGGAGCTGGGAAATTTTTGACAAAAGAAGTGGATAAAAAGTCTAAAAGATTTTGGGCGTAGAATTTTGCATATTTCGTACAAACATAATAGGTATCTTTTTAAACTGTTTTATTTTCATTTAGTTTAGTTATTCCCCCTTCTTCTTGTATTTTGTAATATAAGGAACTAACTAAATTTATAAAAAATCGGTTACAGGATCAGTGGTTTGAAGGGACGCGTGATCGTAAACTCCAGAGAAAGAGATTTGGATGAGTTCAGACGGATATCGTGTTACATTCAACAAGATGACAGGCTTCAACCCCTCTTAACGGTGAGAGAAAACATGGACATTGCAGCGGATTTCAAACTGGGCAACAGATTGGACAGATCCAAAAAGGATGCACTGGTGAGACAAATCTTTGAAAAATCCTAATGTGAATGTGAGTGTCGCAGGTCGCACAGGCACAGCTCTGCTCAACTCTCGGTCAAGATTTGTGAACGCGTATAAAACGCCTTCAATTTAACTAGGTGGCTGCATCGCTTGCAGGTAGCAATTGTTTACGCTGTTCAGGCGCTATCAACCAAATGCGGCAATTTAATGAAAACGTTATACTTTTACTTATTGCGGGTATCACGCGTTGAGTCATCTAGTTTTTCAACATGACATTAAAGTAATAATTAATTACGATATATTCAGAATGTACAGAAAAATGCATAGCACAAACCGATGATGGTTTATCGAAACTTACATTTGTTTTAAAGAATGGGCATTGTAATTAATCAGATTCCGATTCAGTTGAAATTATGAGTGAAATAAATTTGCCACCAATAAATGCACATAGTCAGTTCTAAGTTGGAAAATACAGGTAAATGTTTCACTTTCTTTTAAAAGAAAACGGTAAACGGAAAATATGAGTGTTCACGCAACTAATGATGCAGTATGCTTTACGATGTAAGGATTTTCCTCCTTTTTTTGAATAGTTGAAATGTATCTTGTTTCAGGAGAAAGTTTGAATTTATTACTTATAAGTGCACGACGAACGTGTATTTCTCTTTTATGTGTTAATTTTTGAAGTATCCGATATGTTCTGGGTAGAATTTCGACGGGAAGAGATATATTGTAGTACTTAAGTTCTCACTGACTCCAGTGGTCGATTATTCCATCAAAACGCTCACTGCAAGTAAAATTTAGCACTTGATTGACACAATATTTTAGTTTTTTGTTAAGAAGTAAGGATGTTTCTATTGTTAAAACTACGAAACGCTAATTGCTCATTTATGAGTTAAAATTTGAGACTTGTTATGAATTTCCCGGGCTCTACGTGAAATTTTGATGAGAAATTATGCATTTTGGTGCCTCATTCCTTACCTTGTCCAGCCATTAAAGTGACATGACCTCTTTTAATGCTACCAATATTAAGACACTAATATACGTAACTTTTCAGTGACAAAGCAATTCTATCGTCGATAGAGGGCGCTATGCGATGACGTAGTACGTCAACTTGGTCGCCCCCGCAAATAAATTTATGCCCCGTTAGAGCACAGTTATCTACGGGGGTGTTTAAGTCAACATGTGACGTCACTTTTTTGCGTGGCCCACACCGCTAATAACGTGTATGTCATGGATCATGGATTATCTATTCCTTGCATTTCCTTATTGCTGAATGCAAACACGTCGATGACGTGACTTAACGTCCCGATGTGACGTGTGAGGCTCTCATCACCGGCCAAATTGCGAATGAATCCCTTATCAAACTGCGATTCATCACTCACCAGTTGATGCGGATCAATAGAAATTTATGAGCCCCACTTTTATACTTTTATCAGTGAAGCAACTGCAAAAATAAGGAAATTATGCAGCAGAGCTCTTGAGGGGCTTTTAATACTTTTTTATTTAAATTTTACCAAGTGCGAATTTTACTTGGAGTAGCATCTTAAATTGGGTTCCCATAGCATAAATTCAAGTAATTTTTTTTTAAGAGGCTTTTGCGGAAAATATACCAGTGGTCCTTTCAAAATTTACGATTTTTATAAATGCAATTTAAGTATCGTTGTTGAAAATATCACTATCCTGAGAAAAACGGTTCCGTCAAATGGACTCGTAACGCATTTCATCGGCCGCACTACTAGATTTTGATAAGCGTACTTTTCGCGGTCAAGTAACTGTACCTTGGTTCATACATACAAATTTTTAATTCAAACCGTATTATAAAAATAATTCGGCAGCATTACCTGGACTGCAGAGAGGACTCGGTTGCAATAACTGAGAGCACGGTTATGTAAAGCAAACAGAATGACTGAAACGATGTTTCTACAACTTTTTGAAACATATTTTACTTCTTATTTGACTTAAAAAACTGCACTAAAAAAAGTTTTTGAGCTACTATTTTGACTTAAAGCGTCGATTTGTGTCGACAACATTTGTTTTTTTTTTAGTTAAAGGAACGTTGTTTTCTATCGTTTTTTAAACTGGAACTTAACGATAACAAAACGGAGCCTTTTTAACTAAAAAAAAGTGATTTTGAATGGAGCCTGCACGGATTTAACTTTAAAAAAAAACAAGGAGCGTCGACAAAAAAACGACGCTTCAAGTCAAAATAATATCCAAATAATTTTTTTTTCAGTGTACCTTTGAAGGAGTTATTGTACGTAAATTGTATTAAAAAAAAAATCCGTTTAAAATTCACTCTTTATGATAAATTTTTTTTAAAGAAGTGTTTTTAACATTCATCACCACGGAGGATCTCGTTTGCGCGAAGATGGCCCCTGAGCAGGCCTCCTTCCATTAATCAGCATCTCTTATTGAATATCAAAGGGGGCCGATAAGTGATAGGCGGGTCTCCCTCGGACGTGCCGGTTGCCTACTCGCGACGCGGAAGGCGCCGATTAGTCGCGCTAGGAGGCTGCCAAATCGTGTGTCAGGATCGATCGACTTGGACGGACAACATCGTGAGATTCGACCGGATCGCACCGCGCTGGGGACCGTTGTGGTTCCGACTCATTTTCGGTCTCACAATCCGTGACCCCCCGGGGCCCCGGGCGGTCGCGCGCCAATTCCCTCGCCCACCCCCGCCTCCCACGGGAGAGTCGAGCTAATTAACGCTTTCCGATTATTCTGATGCTGACGGATTGATTGGTTGACACTCGCTGCTCTGTAATTGATAGGACTGATAGGAATAGTAAACGGAGTGAAAATAGGTACATAAGTAAGTCTACGTTAGAATCTACATTGGGGGAAAAAAACACATTGGATCTAGAGTCCAGACTCTAAGCACTGACAAGAAAAACTACTCTTGATTCAATCAGATTTTTGCTTAAATCAAAAGAAAATCCGCTCAAATTAAAAGGCTTGGTTCTTGATTTAAGCAAAAATCCGATTGAATCAAGAGTATTTTTTCTTGTCAATGTTTTTAAGAGTCTGGACTCTAGATCCAATGTGTTTTTTTTCCAGTGTAGAGAGAGCAATCATAAAAGAGAATTTTTTTTTTTTTTTTTTTTTTTTTTTTTTTTTTTTTTTTTTGCGGTGAACTCTTCCTTAAGAGGGTTTTCATCATGTGCATGAAGTATACCCAAAAATTCCGAAAACGTGACGTAATTCTCAAAACAAAAATTTCCCTCTTAGGTCAGAACATGATGTTTGATAGGTTCTACGAAGCATTAAGATCCCCTTCCATCTGTGCAAAAAAATTGGTATAAAACGCCTCGCCCCCTTAAAAAATCCTAGGCTATTCCATTCCGATAACTTAATTTTGAACTTTTATGAGTAAGACCTCCTCTCCTACAGGCTGATTATCTGAATTTATAGACAAAGCTGTAGACAAAAAAGGTAAATAATGGAAAATGGAGCGATCATTCTGATTGAAATGGGTGGTTGCCATAGACTAAGGAAAAAAATGATTGACAAACTATAGGGACTCTTGAGGGGTGCCGTTCGTTAGTCTGTTTCTTACCTATACCTCCTTCGTCTTTTGCAACCACCCGCGCTTTCACCAATGGGTTCGATCCATTTTTGTTTGTCCTCTTTGTCTATAGCTTTGTCTATTGATTTCAACAATCAGACTGCAATGGAAAATAACGCATATGTTTTCAGATATAGTTATATACTTAATGATTCGAAACATTTCTCTTTATTTCCTGCAGATACGAGATATTTTATCGACATTAGGGTTGAATGAGGCAGCAAATACACGGTCTAGTATGCTATCAGGAGGTCAAAAGAAAAGGCTCTCGATAGCACTGGAGCTCATCAATAATCCATCGGTCATGTTCCTAGATGAACCCACCACGTAAGTTTCCTGATCAGATCTTGAGATTTTCAAAACATTTTGAGCAAAACTGACTGAGAAATTAAATAATCAAACCCGGTTTAAGACCTTCAGATCTTCCGTCAAGAAAAGCCTCCTATCAATAGGCTTCTCAGAATCTCAATTTTCACAAGTCGTCGTTTCCCGATTGAAGGGACGAGACTCCATTCCAAGGTTGCAAAAGTGACTCAAAAAATTCAATTCATTACAATAATCTACCTGCTCCATTTTCCCCAAAATTTGTCTCATTTTGAAATGAGATCAGAAGATAAATCAGGATAATTTGCAGTTAAAAATTCTCGAGATTCCTTGGTAAAAGTGCAATTTTCGAGGAGAAAGGCAACATTGGATGTAGTCACGTTTTATAGTGAGGGAAACAACGTAGTTTGCGCGCTGCGCCGATTCATTCATATTGTACTAATTTTGAGCTTTAATTTTGGTCATGGAAACATAGTTTTTAACTGCGATATGAGTCGACCTTAAAACTGAAATGCTCGTCTGCGCACCTATTAGAACTCTACACACTATCAAATTATAGCGGACCACTGGAATTTGATGGATTTGATAGCATTTTACAGAAAATTCAAGATTGTCCTCTAACCGAAAGATAATGTTTTCGTTTTCAGGGGTTTGGACAGTTCGTCATGCAGTCAAGTGGTATCACTGCTGCGTCTGTTGACCCGACAAGGGCGCACCATCATCTGCACCATCCATCAGCCATCGGCGTCGCTGTTCGCCATGTTTGACCAAGTGTACCTCTTATCCAGGGGCTGTTGCCTCTACCAAGGCAGCACCGCCAATCTCATTCCTTACTTGTCAAAACTAAATTTCCCCTGTCCAAAATACCACAATCCCGCCGACTACGGTAAGTGTGATTCATCTCGAACAAAGGGGAAAACATTCCCTTATTCTTAGGGAATGCAATTTTCAAATTTAAGGGACTTTTTTAAGCTATGAAGAAATTTTACGAAAAAATTTGAAAATATGTAATTATTTAAATTAAGAAACAAGCGGGAAAGCGTATAAGAGAAACACTCGGCTGTTTTCTATGTAGGTGCGTTTTTGAGTTCCTCGAAGAAGATGAACACTGTTGAGATGAAAGTACTCACTTGACAAGATTTCAACTACGAGGGGCGTTCAATAAGTAAGTATCTCCCCTCTCTAAAATCCATAAGAATGGACCAATTTTAAAAAACTTGGGCTCAAAATCTTCCTTAGGATATTTTGAGTTCAACAAAACAAACCGCAACAAAATCGGACTATGTGCGGCCGAACGCGAGCCGTTTGAACGCGCCGAGGAGCTCGACGCTCCCGCCGAATCTGCGAGGATTTGAAGTCCGCTACAGGAGAAGAGCTTCTCTGCCAAAGCCTCAGTCGTTCATCACTGACGAAAAATCAAAGAAATTTTTGTAGAATAAGGGGCTTACCTCACTTCTCCACATAACCAGCTCGATCCAAGCAAGTCTGATACTGAGACTAAGACTAAGAG